CAGAGCATCCCAGGCAGAGCCAGTCTCCTTGCTCAGCCTCCTGAGCCCTGTCACGCTGGATGCGTTTCCCAGCACTGCTGAACACTGAGGTCACAGGGCTGCATCATCCTGCTGTGACAAGCAGCCTCTTCAGGGCATGAATAACAATGAGGTTGCAGAGAAAGCTAATCAGAGGAATGGAAATAAAAACCAGTTATAATGAAGCTTTAAACCTGAACCCAGACACCATCACTGGGCACACTGGCTTCCATTTCCTGCTTCCCTGCTGCAACTGCCTGTGAATTAGTGTGTTGGTTTGAAGAATAAGGGGTCAAATTCACTGTCTGGTGCTTTGCACAGAGCTATGGTGGCAGGATGACAGCTCTGTCTGCAGTGTCCCTGCTGCACACTCAGGTCTGGGTGCTCACCCTGGGTATAGATGATTTGGGAGACTTACCCTCCAGATCACAGGAGATCTAATTGGTTTTGTCAGTCAACCCAGACACCGTGGATTGGCTTCCTGTTCTAGAGCTGGGTGAGAAGAGAAAGGAGAGCAGTTTGTTCCTTTGGCCAGCCCCTCTCCAGGGGAGTAATGCCCTCCACCAGCTGCTGCTTCAGACCAGATCCCACGTGGTGATGTCTCCAGCATCATCTCTGGGTCATCTTGCTGAAGTGCATGTCCTGTTTTCTTAGATGGCCAGGGAGGAGGGCAAAGTCATGTCCAAAGTACCTTCTCTCAAAGTATCTGCACCTGCTTCCTTAGTTAACCCTTGTGCTTCACTGGAGCACAAAGAGAGGTGGCAGAGTCAGTGCAGAAAGCTGCAGGTGCACCCTGATGTTTCCCTCTGCTGCAGCAGCTTTGTGTGCTGGGAGGGACTTGTGGGTGGGAAGGAGTGAGCAACTGTGGCTGTTTGGAGGAGCCACCTGCATGTGCTGGATGGCTAGAATATACCTGTGGTTATTAAAATGTAGTTTTGTGTCTTTATGTAGCTGAATGTGGTTCATCTGTAACTGGAACCCAAGGTGTCTTGCTGTCCCCCAACTATCCAATAAACTATAACAACAACCATGAGTGCATCTACTCCATCCAGACCCAGCCAGGAAAGGGGATCCAGCTGAAAGCCAGGACTTTTGAACTGGAGGCAGGAGATGTCCTCAAGGTAATTCATCTGTCTCTAGCAATGAAGCACTTCTGTGCTGCTCAGGGGAGTGGGATCTGAAAGGGAAGGGATGTTCTAAAGTGTCATGGAGTTAGCTGAGACTAACCTCTGGAAAACACCACCTATATAAAAATGTTACATATAAAATATGTTAAAAACATATTGTGTAATTTCCCCAGCTCCTAGCAAGTCTGTGGCAGCAGCACCAGGGCAATAGGGAATATCCTTGCACTTCAGCCTGGTTGTTTGTTTGAGGCTTCAGTCTGCAGAAGGATGCATCAACAAGTTCTGTGCCCATTAAAAATGTGGGTCTTTGCTGGATCACTGTACCTTCTGCTGGGAAGTTTCCCTGAGGTTTAGAGGTTTGTTGTTGGGTCCTTCCTTTGTAGCTAAACTTCAGTCCTTACCTGCATGGTTGTACAGGGGAAATTGTTAAAACATGAGGAAGTGTGAGGTTCTTAGCATTATTGTTTGGTTTTTTTAAGACTCAGAGTTGGCTTGTCCCAAAAAGAGATTGATTTAAATGCAGAACTCCAGACTCAGCCTCTTCAGCATTCCCATAATGATTCTTGGATTAATCTGCATTTACAAGTTTCAGATCTCTATGTAGGAGAAGACAAATCCAGGCTGAGTTTCTATTAACCACAAAGAAATGGTGTTGCAGGAGGCATTAATATTACAAGATGTGTGCTGATGTGCTGAGCCATCTTCCAGAGGACTCTCCTTATTTAAGTGCCATACTTGTGCACTGCAAGAGAGGTGTAATCCACGTATTTTCAGCTCCCAAATAACTGGGAAGAGAGAGAGATTTGCAGCTAATGCAAAGAATATGATGCTTGTGAAAAAATTATGTTATCTCAACAGGTTTGTCATCAACTTCTCATCAGCTCCTGGGGAAAGTTACCATCAATCTCCACTAGTGAGAAGTTGCTCTTTATCCTCATAGAGAATCGTGCCACCTGAAAGAAGAAAAACCAAAGTGTTTTCCTGCAATAATAGTGGGGTCAAGGCCCATCTGTGAGTCACTGTAGGGAGAAAATGTTTTTCCCAGGAGCTGTGCTGCATCTTTGGAAAGAGAGCTTAGTTCAGAAGCCTCAGCCAAGTGCAGTATGAGCTCAGGTGTAAGAAGAAGGATGCAGGTCCTCCAGGGTGTGGATCCTGCTCCTCGCATCAGCATCATGAAGTCTTGAGAAGGGGTCATGTCACTGGCTTCAGAGGAACTGTTCCTGTTCACTCTCATGGATGATTTGGTCCCTGAAGCAGCAAAGAAAAAACATTTTCCAGTGTGTGTTTCTTGCTCCTACCAGGTCTACGATGGCAGCAACAGCTCTGCCCGCCTGCTGGGCTCCTTCAGCCACTCGGACATGCTGGGCACCAGCATCAACAGCACCTCCAGCAGCATGTGGCTGGAGTTCATCACCAACAGTGAGAACACCAGCAAAGGCTTTGAGCTGCAGTTCTCCAGTAAGTCCTTAGGCCCCCAGGCTTGTGAGGTGGGGGCCAGAGGTGTGATGGTGTGGGTTCAGGTCACAGTTGTGTGACAAGAGGAACCAGTTCTTTCCGTGAAGGTCTTGTTGTCTCAGTTGGATTTGGAGTGGGGGAGATAGTGGTGCTGGCAAACCTTTTCTGTTGTCAATGAGGCAGTGGTGACAGAGAAACTTTGGACCAAAGCAGAGATGCCAGATTTCTGGGATCTCATTCAAATATTGAATATTTTCAATATGGTGTTTTTTTTCTCTCCAGCAAATGATTTGGAGAAGAAAAGATTAATGCTGTGCAGTGTGAATACCTCCTGGCTGTTCAGTGTCTGATGAGGACGGGTGCTGTTTCTCCCACTCCAGGTTTTGAACTGATTAAATGTGAGGACCCTGGCATCCCACAGTTTGGCTACAAGGTCCACGACGAGGGACACTTTGCTGGCAGCTCCGTGTCCTTCAGCTGTGACCCCGGGTACAGCCTGCGGGGCAGCCGGGTGCTGCTCTGCCTGACGGGGGAGCGCAGAGCTTGGGACCAGCCCCTGCCAACCTGTGTAGGTGAGACAGCTCTGGCTCAAAAACATCCTTGCACAAGTCCTTGGCTTGTGGGCATCACACTAAACACCTTTCTTCCTCCTTTGTTGGTACCTGTGCTGTTAATTCTGATCCCAGTTGCACCCACCTACATTAACACAGACCGTGATGAGGGTTCTGTGTAAAAGCTCCTCAGATGGACAGTCCTGATCTCTTCAAAGCTTCTAGGAGCAGTTTTAACATGAAACACTGTGCTCTGAGCACAGATTTGACAAGGTTTCTTCTTCACTGCAAGGAGACTCCTGCATTTCCAGTCCTTGTCCTTTCACTGTGACGTGTTAAACAGAGTGACACGTTGATAATGGCAGACATAACGTGTGTCCAGGCATTTGGCAGTTCAAAGTCATGTTTCTTTGAGAGCTACATGACATCTGATTCCAGAGTCTCAGACATTTTAATTCCCTCAGTCTTAGCCAATCCTGAGTTCCTTTTCACCTCTAGCTCTCCAGCAGCAGGTCTCCTTGCTTGGAAAATGCTGCTATTAAGTTTTGTGTATCAAAATGAAGTGCTGTTGGTCTGTTCCTTGACAGCCTAATAATTAGCTGATGTTTCCAGGAGATGGCCAAGTCCTTCCAGACTTAGTCCTCTGAGAGACATCAAAACCCAGCAGGCTGCTCTCGTGGTTGTCAGTGACCTGCTTGGACATTGACACCCTGATTCTCCCATGATTAGAACCCCCCTTTGTGCTGTAGATCTCTGCTGAATTTTAGCCTTGATTACTGAGGTAAAAAGACAGATTCCTGTGATTTGTGCATCTTCTTAACCTTTCCCCTGTTTGCTATACATGTGCTACATATGAATGGTCATGTTGGTGTAAGCATGTGGAAATTTACAGAATTTTAATGGCTACATGATGAAAATGTATTCAAAACCCCCCCGTTCTTTGAGGTTCATTTAGCAGACACATATATTGGCTTCTTCATTTTGTCACCCTGACAAATCATGCAGATTCTGTGTAGACACAGGCAGAAGAGCTGAGCTCTTTCACCCCACCTGTGGATGGGGCAAAGCAGGATGCTGCCAGTCCCTGCCTGGCCCCACCACCAAGCCAAGAAGGCAGAGGGAAGCTTTGACAGCATGAGGAGTGTGCACAGAAGTGCAGAGTTACTCTGATAACCCAGTCTTCTAGCTGAATTAAATGACTCTATCTTTGTTTTCTAGGCTTTAAGAATCTCTTTAAATGGCAAGAAATACTCCCTGTTGTATCTGTAGGATGAGATTTGCCTCCTTGCCAAGTAAGAACCGTAACATGTCATGAATCTTCTCACTAACCCATATGTTTCTTTCAGCTGAGTGTGGGGGCACAATCAAAGGAGAGTCCTCGGGGCGGATCCTGTCTCCTGGCTACCCAACCCCCTACGACCACAATCTCAACTGCATTTGGACCATAGAGGCAGAACCTGGTTGCACAATAGGGTGAGTTGGGCCAGGTTATTGTAGCTTGGTTTGCTTGCCACGTATTTTGCCAGACCTAGATCAATAATTACATAAGGCAAGGAGAGAGAGTTCCCAGTCACTCTGAGACTCCCAAATGAAGGAACAAAGGCTGGTTTATCTCCTTACCAGGCTGGACAGAAGCAGCATCACTTCTTCTTTCTCTTAAGCTTTTTAGCCCTCTGTGGCCTGTGTCTGTAGCAGCTCTGTGCCCTGAGTGCTGAAGCCAGATTATTTGCTGTTGCTGCCTGTGGTTTTACTGTATTAAAATAACATCCATGAGCTTTTGTGTGCGTGTGCAAGGTAAGTGCTTTCCACCCCTTTCCTCTCAGTGGTGCTTTTAGTCGATGGATTTATGCTGGAGGTAGAGCTGGCCCAGTATTTTCATTTTTACTGAATGCAGAAATTCCCTTCAGTAGCTTTGCTCTTTGGTGTGGTTCAGTAATGGATGGTTCCTGGTAGGAAGGCAGGAGAAGGAGCACAGCCAGTGCAGCATGATGCCTGCACAGACAGCTTCCCATGTTCCAAAGTCTTCTCTTTGTTTTGTTATTCTTCTGTAAAAGATTCTGAAGAATTAGATTTTAATAGGACAGAATAGGTAGGAGAGACCTGCCCCCCTCCCAGGTTGGTGATACACCTTGGGATCCTTCCTTTCTCCAGAGGTGACAGCTCCCTCCTGCTGTCCCTTGATTTGGTAGCTCAGACAGAACAGATGATCCCTGGGTAGTTGAGAGAGCACATTTTCAGCGACTTCATTTTTATGGTAATCCATGGGAAAAATAATCCTCTTCACGCATGATACAATTGTATAAAGCTCTCATTTATAACTTATATTAAAATTAATCACCAGAGCTTTTTGAATAAAGCTGTATCTGCAGAGAGCGAGGGGAAGGAGAGGAAGATAGATAAATTAGTCTGTACCTCATTGCTGTGGAAGTTGAAGGGTTGCACTTCTAGAGAGAGGATTAATTTAGTGCACGTGCAAACACACGCGGGCACACGCAGAAGGAATTGCAGCTGGAATGACTGGGCTTATCTGGGAGACTCAGGGAAGGGAAAGAAGGAAAAGCTGGAGAGGGTGCTGGAAAATGACTGGAATTTGCCTTGGAGTCCTGCCTGCCCAGCTGAGAGCAGGGATGTGCAGTTACAAGTGGCAGCAGGGACCTTGGTGCCAGGCAGGGGTTTACTGGTGTGGCTCATCCTGCTTCACTGGATGGTGCTGTGTCCACAGGCTCAGATGAGATGTTTTTCACCATCTCATCTACAAGTGTGAGAATATTGGGATGTTCCCAGTTTGCATCCTCAGAGGTTTATTAGGGACTTAACAGCTTTTAAGTTAGGGAGCCCTCTCTGGGCTGGAGGGACACAGGGGCAGCCCTGGGATCTGCTGTAATGCCAGAGTCCTACAGCTCTGCTGCTCCATGGACATCACCAGGATGTCCCAAGGCCTTCAGCAGCTGAAGCCAGGTCCTGAGGGAGCCTGGCACAGCAGAGCCAGGCTGGGGCAGCCAGAGCTTGGATGGGAAAACAGCCTCAGCTTGGTCAGTCAGGATGGGAGGGGGAACTTTCTGAAGAGCTGGGGCTAAATGGCCCACCAAAGATGATGCAGATTGTCAGTCCAGAGCTGGTCTCTTCTCCAATCTCCTCCTTGCTAGCCTGGGGGAACTTTCACTCTGTCAGCTATATTTTTATTTATATATATATATATATATATATGTATGTATACATAACTCCACAATTCCTAATTTGATTTTTGCTGCATTTTCATGCATATAATTGGGTCTGTCAGAGTGCAAGAATGAAACTCTTCCTCTCCAGTGTCTGCTAAACCAGTGTCTCTGTCTTCTCTTAAATGAAGCCCTGCTGGGAGCAGAATCAGGCAGATAGAAAAATCATGCTGTGTGGTTATAAATGGGTCAGTTGAATAGATGGGTTTGCTCAAGAGCACATCAGTTTTCTCAATAAAATCAGCTATCCCAGAAGAGACTTCCTGAACCAAGTGGTGTTGGACAACCTGTGCCTTGTCCTCTGATCAGCACACAAAGGCTTTCTCCTCCTGGTGAAGCTTTGCCTGCAAGTTGTTCCTTCCAAAGAACTGGAGGAAGTGAGTTGCTGGAGGCAGCCCTTGTCCCATGGGTGGTGGTGCCTGTCCCAGGCAGTGACAGGCCCAAGGTGTCCTCTCACCCCTGGTACTCTCTGCCAGTGTCTCCAACATCTCCAGCAAGGAGTTTCTCTGGCAGCTTTGGCTCACTAGAGCCAGTCAGCCTGAGAGCAGAGGCAGGCAGGGCAGTGCAGGGAGAGCAGCTCTGCTCTGCTCCCTTCCCGCTTCCCTCCAGTCGAGCTTTTCCCCCCTCTTTGCTCAAGGTCTTTATTAGGTAGATTTATGATTCAGCTCTTTTGGTTTCTGTCGGATTCCGTGGACATCATTTTGTTGCTGACTACATTGCAGTGGTTTGGGTTGGTTGTTTTTTTTCCCCTCTTTTATGGTTCTACCTGATTTATTTATGTTTGCCCTGGATAAATGGGAAAGCAGCCAAGCGAACACTTCCCTGCTTTCCTGCCTGGGCTGTCAGGGTTTTTAAGCACAGTACTTGATTGTTTTATTTTGTGCAGGTTTTTCTCAGCACAGTTTACAGATTCCTGTCCCTGGCTCAGACTGTTGTGCCTCTGGTTACCCCATGTCATCCTGATCTCATTGTGTCAGGAGGCAATTAACAATTCACTGCCTGCTTCCAGCTGGCATCTCAAGTGCAGGAGGGAAGGGACTGAACCTGGGGGTATCACAACCTTTAGTTGATAACTCCTGTGGGTGTAACAATGATAAAGTCAGTGTCTTATGCTTAGATGGTTCTTCTGATCTTGGAAGCTCCAAAGCTCTTTGCAAGGCCTGGATTCCCCTGCTTTCACATCCTTGGTGGGGAGAAGTGCAATCTGCCCAGCACAGGGTGGGAAGAGGGGAGCATCCCACCAGGGGTTGATGTTGGGACCAAGTTGGTCCTGTCCCAGAGGGCCACCAGACCTCTCCTGGGCATGGAGAAAACTTCTGGCCTTCTCCCATACCCTTAGGTTCACTGCTGGCACAGGCTCCCCAGATCAGGTTGGTGCCAGGAGCAAATTCTTTGATCTGAGTGCAGGTAACAAAAATCAATGCATTTTATCAGTAGATTCTGGCTCTTGACAATAAGCTGCTCTTTACAGGACTCCAACAAAAGCAGAAGCACAGCCAAAGTTGTCACTGTGTGCAGCACAGGGACAGTGTGTGAATTGGATGAATATATCTAAGTTGTCTGGAGGGACCCAGCACTTTTTCTGTTAAATCTCTTTTTAGAATAAGTTTCTCAATGTGTCTGTGTTTCTCTTACACAACTCAGTGAAACTGCAGACAAACCCCCACTCTGTCCTTCCCAGTCCCTGGACCTCCCTGCTGCAGTTTTCCTGGGTGTCCTTGGCCAAGCCTGTTGTCTGTGTGGCAGCTGCTCCTTGCAATGTCTCAGCACCTTTGGTGCAAAACCAGCAGTGAAAACCAGCTGCAAAACCAGTTCTGGCTGGGGATGTTTCCACTGCCGACAATAAGCACTTGGGCCTTTGCCTTATTCCTCAAGATTTTTAGGAGAGATTAGTGATTTTGTTCACTCAGGACAGAACCACCAGAAAGGACCCAGCTTTTCAGAAAACATTAGTTTGTTGGGTTTTTGTTTGTGGATGTGTTCTATTAGGGAAGCATGTGACCTTGGCTTTTATAGACAGATGGATTTTGGTAGAAGGCTCAAGTACTTTGTCCAAGCTGAGTTGCAGATAACAAGAGAGAACAGATTCCTTGTGGGCCAGGTTGGTGCCAATCATATTTCTGATCCTTTCAGGACAAAAAGCAGAGCTGGGTTTCTGGGCTGACTTCCAGTTCATTTTGCCCTGCAGGCTCCATTTCATGGTTTTCCACACCGAGGAGTTTCATGATGTGCTGAGAATCTGGGATGGGCCGGTGGAGAACGGGATCCTCCTAAGGGAGATGAGTGGATCCAGCTTACCTGGTGATGTCCACAGCACCTTCAACTCTGTCATCCTTCAGTTCAACACTGATTTCTTCACAAGCAAGCAGGGCTTTGCTATTCAGTTTTCAGGTAGGCTTTACATTGTTTCCTCAGCATTATCCAAACCTGGATTTCTTAGATTCATGGAATGGTTGGAGTTGGAAGGGACCTAAAGGAAGGATCATCAGGTTCCAACCCTCCTGCATGGGCAGGGACGCCTCCCCCTATACCAGGTTGCTCCAAGCCCCATCCAGCCATCTAACACTCCCAGGGATGGGGCAGCCACAGCTTCTCTGGGCAACCTGGGCCAGACTCTCACCACCCTCACACTAAGGAATTTCCTCCTCATGTCCAACCCAAATCTTCCTCTTCAGTTTTAATCCATCCCCCCTTGTCCTCTCACTACAAGCCCTTGTAAAATGTCCCTCCCCAGCTTTCCTGGAGCCCCTTCAGATCCTGGAAGGTGCTGTGAACTCTCCCTAAACTACTGCTGGTGAGCAGATGACATTTTAGTGACCACAGGAGCAGGACCTCAGTGGCCTTCCTGCCTTTTTGCTCTCCTGCATGTGGGTGCAGTCTCTGCAAATAGAGGGTGGGTTTTGTCCTTGCAGGTGACATGTTCCTTTGAGGTAGGAGATAACTCTCATCAACTGGGCAGGAAATAAGCTCTGCCACCTGATCCAGAGTGGTCTTTATTGTATTTTTCTGCTCAAAGCCTTTGTTCACAGGGTGTGACTGAGTAGTCAGACCTGAGCTCGTGAACTTCAATGATCTATCTAAGCTTGCAAAACTTCTCTTGCTCTGGGACTTCCCATCCTGTTAAGCAGTGCAAAAAGCAGAGCTGGGTTTCTGGGCTGACTTCCAGTTCATTTTGCCCTGCAGGCTCCATTTCATGGTTTTCCACACCGAGGAGTTTCATGATGTGCTGAGAATCTGGGATGGGCCGGTGGAGAACGGGATCCTCCTAAGGGAGATGAGTGGATCCAGCTTACCTGGTGATGTCCACAGCACCTTCAACTCTGTCATCCTTCAGTTCAACACTGATTTCTTCACAAGCAAGCAGGGCTTTGCTATTCAGTTTTCAGGTAGGCTTTACATTGTTTCCTCAGCATTATCCAAACCTGGATTTCTTAGATTCATGGAATGGTTGGAGTTGGAAGGGACCTTAAGGAAGGATCATCAGGTTCCAACCCTCCTGCATGGGCAGGGACACCTCCCACTATACCAGGTTGCTCCAAGCCCCATCCAACCATCTAACACTCCCAGGGATGGGGCAGCCACAGCTTCTCTGGGCAACCTGGGCCAGACTCTCACCACCCTCACACTAAGGAATTTCCTCCTCATGTCCAACCCAAATCTTCCTCTTCAGTTTTAATCCATCCCCCCTTGTCCTCTCACTACAAGCCCTTGTAAAATGTCCCTCCCCAGCTTTCCTGGAGCCCCTTCAGATCCTGGAAGGTGCTGTGAACTCTCCCTAAACTACTGCTGGTGAGCAGATGACATTTTAGTGACCACAGGAGCAGGACCTCAGTGGCCTTCCTGCCTTTTTGCTCTCCTGCATGTGGGTGCAGTCTCTGCAAATAGAGGGTGGGTTTTGTCCTTGCAGGTGACATGTTCCTTTGAGGTAGGAGATAACTCTCATCAACTGGGCAGGAAATAAGCTCTGCCACCTGATCCAGAGTGGTCTTTATTGTATTTTTCTGCTCAAAGCCTTTGTTCACAGGGTGTGACTGAGTAGTCAGACCTGAGCTCGTGAACTTCAATGATCTATCTAAGCTTGCAAAACTTCTCTTGCTCCGGGACTCCCCATCCTGTTAAGCAGTGGTGATGTTGACAGACCTTGAGATCCATCAGCCGTGGAGCTGAGCTGCCTGGCCTGGGGAAGCAGCTGAGGGGTCATCTGCTACTTCAGAGGGACATGGACAGTGAGACTGGGAGGGAAGCACAGGCAGTTCTGAAAGGTCAGGCTTGATGCTTCACAGGGCTAAGGGCTAAATTGCTCTGCCACTCAGGGAAGTGCAGGGCACGAGTGGATTTGTTTATTTTGCAGCTTGTGTCTGACCCAAAGCTCTATAAAAACGCCACAGAAGATCACTGGATGTCTGGACTTATTAAGTAAACATGCATGTGCACAATTATACATCAAACTTGCACTCTGTGTAGTGCACTTGAACTTGTCATTCCCCAGAGCCTTTCCCAGCTGGAGTGGCAGATGCTCAGAGCAGAGGAAAAGCCACTGGCTGAGTCCGTGGCACCTTTCAGGGATACTGCAGGAGGAGAGGTGGAGAATGAAGTCATTGCTTGGATTTGGGTTTAGGGGCAAGTACAGTCTGTGAGCCTCTGTATGAAAGTATTGTTAGGTATTAAAGTTCTGGTTTTCATACTCCTCAGTTTCTACTGCCACTTCCTGCAATGACCCAGGGATTCCCCAGAACGGGAGCCGCAGCGGGGACAGCAAAGAGGCAGGGGATTCCATCATCTTCCAGTGCAATCCAGGATATGCTCTGCAAGGAGAGGCCAAAATCACTTGTGTGCAGATCGAGAACAGGTTTTTCTGGCAGCCAGACCCTCCCACCTGCACAGGTAGGAACACACATCCATCCTCCCATTGCACTGGCTTCCCTGCCCTGTCTCACTGCGGGATTTGTGTCCCTGAAGGGGGTGAGTCCTACCTGGTTTGAAGAGGTGTATGACAAGGTGTCTCAGTCTCAGGTAGCTCTCTCAGAGAAGTACTTTTTAGGTTTAACCCCTGAATGTCTGGGACAATGAGAATCTAGTTCATGCTAGAAGGTTGTAGGACAATCTGCAATATCAATTATTATATTTAACCAGACAAGCCAAAATTAAAGGCTTCTTTAAAACTGATAGAGAGGATTTGGGGTTATAGTGAATAATTTCTGCAGCAAATTCTGTCAGAAGAAAGAACTATCTGGCACTTTCTTTGAGCTCACAGAGTAATAAAATAAGCTCTTAAAAGTTATTCTTTTTACTACGTCCATAACACACAAAAATAGTCATGCTAAGCACAGAAGAGCAATAAACATCACATTTGCTGGCCAGTTAAGTGCTAGTCACAAATTGCTTGTCCTGTAACCTTTCTGTTTATACACTGTTATCTCAAGCAAGAAAAATCAGTTAATTCTGTTCCTAACAGCTGATTTAATGCCAGCCAGGAAATCTCTACAGCGTGCCCAGGATTTATGCTCCCTGCAGGATGACTTGGTTTCTGAATGACCATCTTGATGATCTACTGTGGCACCCTCTCAGTCTGGCACAGACAGTTCTTTTAGTCTTCCCAGAGCTATAACTAAATCATATTATTGCATGTCATGCCCATCTTGTCATTCTCCTGAGGGGTTCCCTTGCACACCAGAAGCCAGGCTCTCAGTCCTGCTCAGAGAAATGGAGCTGGTGCCTTCATCTTGGTGTGAGATGAATTCCCATGACCTGGGAGATACTGGGTTGGGTCCTTTCTGTAGAGAAGCCTGGCAGTCTTGTTTTGGGAGCCATGAGCCCTGTGAAAAAGCTGAAAGCAATGTCTTTGGTCCTTTCCTCTATGCAGTGACAAAGGATTTGGAGGAATAATCAGTGGCCAAGTAATATCAGTTGTATAGTAACTATGGAAAAGGCTGAACAGTTAGAGCTGAATTGGAAAAGGAGCTTTAATTTAGGACTTGGGGTTTATGTTTGTCTTTAGCAGTTCAAATGTATGTTCAGATTGTTACTTACCCTTATCTATTCATCTCTCTCTCCCTTCCTGCATCTTAGCTACTGTTTTTTAAGTTCCCCTAAGACAAAGCCTCATCCCTTTGCTTGGTTCCCTTCCAGCTCCCTGCGGAGGCATTTTGACAGGACCAGCAGGAGTGATCCTGTCCCCACAGTACCCAGAGCCCTACCCCCCAGGGAAGGAGTGTGACTGGAAGCTGACTGTGTCTCCTGACTATGTCATTGCCCTGGTGTTCAATGTGTATGTACCCCAGAGCTCTCTGGTTCCCCCCCTGGGGCTGCCCGTGGGGACAGGGGAGTGACACCCCTGGTGGGGCACTAGCTGGGTGAGCTGGGGCTGCCTGCGGGTCCTTTCCTCCCTGAAGAAACCAACCCAAACCTGGCAGGACTGTTCTGCAGTCCTTGGGAATCCGTTCTCAGATGTTCCCTTGTTTTGGGACAAGATGCACAGATTTCAGCTGCAGCTCCTCTTTGACACACCCGTGGTTCGGCAACGTCGCCGTGTCCCCGGTGCAGCGCGGGAGCCCCTGCAGCAGCACTGCCTGATGCTGCTGTGTTCTTGGTGGTACCCCCAGTCCTTGGTTCCTTACGGATGGAATGGAGACAGAAATGCCCTGTGCTTAGCTGAGGAGCTGCTTTGGGCAGGAGCAGTCCCTCAGCTCTCTGGCTGTACAGCCCAGCCAGAGGCTCTGTTGCTCTCCGGAGCCTGCCTGTGCTTCAAGCTCCCTTCCTTTGGCTTTGCAGCTTCAGCCTGGAGCCTGGCTATGATTTCCTTCACATCTACGATGGACCCGATTCCCTCAGCCCCCTGATTGGCAGCTTTTATGGCTCCCAGCTGCCCCAGAGGATTGAGAGCAGCAGCAACAGCCTCTTCCTGGCCTTCCGCAGCGACGCCTCGGTCAGCAACGCCGGCTTTGTCATCGACTACACGGGTAGGAGCTGCCTCCTCAGCCCCTGGGCTGTCACCTACACTTCTTCTCAGGTTAAACCACCTTGCTGAGCCAAATGGGAGAAGGTCTAGACAGGGTGGGAAGTTCTCTTCAGGCAGTAACCCTGCTGTCTGTTTTGCTCCCACCCAACCTGACTAGGAGGCACGGGAGGGAAAACTGGGAGTTGCAGGGAGGGGGACACATGAGGTACAGAAGAGCAGCATAAAAGGACTCTCATGTAGCTGAAGATCATTTGCTGCCACTGAGGATGTGGCTGCTTCTGTGGGGGCTTTCACTAAGAGAGAAGAAAAGTGTAATTTTGGGGGGTTTTTTCTTAAAAGAAAATGGGAGCCAGATTCCCAGAAAGTGCACATTTATGTACAGGCTGGGTTCTGTATAATCTTTCTTGCTCCACACTGAATTTTAATAGTTCTGTCTTCTCCTTAGTGAGCAGAACATGCTGCTTCACTGCAGATTTGAGCTTTCAGAGCACCGGAGTGCTGAGCTGCTAACTGGTTATTACATTCCATGGATCTCAGATTTATTCTTAGCAGCAAGAGGAGCAGCTTTGTCCAAGAAGAGGAGGTGCAGGCATACATATCCAATGTGGAATCTCAGTCTGAATTCTTGATACTGTCACTCAAGAGTGCACCAGGTGGTTGGGTGCCTGTATCTGGAGGATCACAGGGTGGGTGCTGAGCTCTCTGGAGTCAGTGGGTGCTCTCCTGAAAAATCTGTGCATTTTGCTTCACTTAAGGATTCTAAAGCATCCACTTACATGTTGACTAATAATTAGTAAACTGCACATAAGACTTCACAGGTGTCTGTTGTTAGAACAGTGGCTTTTTTTGTCTTGCTGGAGGAGGAAAGAAAACATTTTGGTGGCTTCAGCTCTATGGTGAGAGACAGGGGCAGTGGTTGGAGTGTTCCCTGGATGCTTTTAGCTCTCTGTATGGAGGAAGCTGAGAAGTGCCAGACCTGGCACTGCTGTTCTGGGAGATGGGGAGAAAAAGGAAGGCTTTGGCAGAGTGGTTGCCTTGTTTGTGCACAGGGTAGGTGGAAGAATGGAGTTGTTACAAACTGTAGTTAAAAATGCACTCTGAAAAGCTGGGTCTGATGAACTGGGCTTATGCAGAATGGAGAAAAGGATTAAAACCTTGGAGAAAAAACAGGGCTAGAAAGAAGTAATTCTTCAGTCCTGCTGTGGCCTATATGGACTAGCTTGCAGGAGGGGGAAAAAAGCATTGATGGCTTCAAATGACCTGGATGTGTGCCAGTGTGGGACGTGGCTCTGCATCCCTGGCATGCTCTGAACAGGCTGTTGAGCCTTGTTGGCCCAACTGTGCTGGGGGAGCAGTGACAGCAGATGCTGGAGAGCTGGCGGTGCTGCCCTGTCCCCAGCACTGTTGGGCCTGGGCAGTTCTCTCCTCTTACACCCTGCCTGCAGCCTGTGAATCCTGCTTTTGAATTTACCTGACCAGAGGTTAAATGAGAATGAAATGGCAATTCCTATTAGTTCTGCTGATCAGATGAATTTCCCTCCAGTAAAGTTATGAAATAATAAGACAAAGACGATCAGCGCGGGATTCAAGAGGTTGGAAATTTTCTGCTCTCATTAGAATGAATTCTCCTGAAAATTAAGTCTTGGGTTTTCTTCTTTTACCCTTTATTTTTGGGCAGCCAGAAGGTAGTTAACACATGAAATCTCATTAAATTAGGGTGCTTTTGCCATGCATCTCTCTCCTAAACACTCCGACAGCGTTAATCGCGCCTACGTACTTCCCACAAAGCCCAACTGCTGGGAGCCAAGAATGAGGCTTCGGGTTTGCTCATTAATTTCCCTGCACTTTAAAAGGAGCCTGGGATTTCAGTTTAAGAAGCTGCAGAAAATAGAACTTTGGGGAATGGAAGGAAGAAGAAAAGAAATGCAGGAGGGAGCGTGTGTGAAAGGAAACCCAATCCCGAGCTGGGCTCCGGGCCAGCGTGGATCCCAAGTGCAAGTTCAAAGGCTCCGTCTCCTCTCAGCCTCACTGCGCTCAGGCAGGGCTGCAGCCCCACCAGGCTCCTGCCCCTCAGCTCCCTGCCTGCCACGTATCACCTGTGTCAGCAGTGTGTGAAATCCTGTTGATGACCAGGGGCTTTGTGGTCCTCTTTTGGTAGCGTCGGGGGGAACAAACCCCAGCAACCACCTGTCAGTGCCCCTTGAAATCCTCAGCCCTCCCTGGGGCTGGGGCTGGATCACAAACGGGCTCAGCACTTCATTTGAAATTGTTTCAGGGGCAATGGCTCTTCAAGAGAAAGTTCTCCTCTGGGGCCAGGAGGAATGGAGAAAACAGAGAGAAAAGAATGAATCTGGCTTTTCTTGTGCCAGTTTTTTGCATAGAGCTTGACGGCGCGGGCTAGGTGGGGATGCAGCAACGCCATGGAAAGGTGTTTGAGGGCAGAACATCAGCCTGGCAAGTTCCCAGCTTAGCTGCACTGATACAGCACAGGATTTCTGGTAGATGAACTCGTATCTTTTGCTTTGCACCCACGCTGCTCTGTCAGCTGAGCAGCAGCAGGAGCCCCCAGACCAAGGAGAGCAGAAAACCAGGACTCTGCTTTCCCCACGAGCACTTACATTGGCAAGGTTTTGGTTGCTGTGTCCATGGGGAGACTTGGATTGAATCACAGAATCCAGTGAAATTTAAATGCAATACTTTGGGATTTCCACTGGGGAGGAATTTATTCTTGGATGGTTTAGCAGTGGGGAGTAGGTTTTTGGGTTCAGGCTGGTTGCTGGAAGGCAGACACGCTCCGCTCAGGCGTCCTGCTTAAGGTCTGTTGAAGTTCTCATAATCCCTAGCAAAGTGCTGATTGGCAACACCAGCTTAGTTCATGTTATTTCTGTGAAACAAGTGTGCTGTGTTCATAGCAGACCCACTGGAGCCCAACAAGTATTAGTCTTACAAAGCAAAAGGATAAGTTCTTGCTTACAGAATAGGAGAGTTGCAAAACAAGAGCTTAAAGACATGGAAGAGATGGCTGGCAGGATACCTGGGATTTATCTCTTGTTCCAGTTGTTGCTTAAGGACATTTTAAAGCATCTCAGCTACACAGAACTAAGGTTTATAATTCAGTAGCTGTACATGTATCACCCTTTGAACCAAGATGATATTTGTCTGTCTTAGTTACACTTGGGAGGTTCCTGGTTGCGCTGGGCAAGTTTCAAAACCTGTTTCCAGTCAATTAAAAAGACCCCTTGGTAGAAGGGACTCCCACTGAGCTGCAATTGCCAGAAAGTGCTACCAGAGCCTCCCTTCAATTTGGTCAGGAAAGAGTTGAGGTTTGGCTGCTCATGTTTGGGGCAGGAGGGAGTTTCCAGGTTGGATGCTCCAATGCAGGAGATTTTCTCACACTTTTTAGTACTTCTCTTTCTGTTACAGACCAGAATTAAAGAGGCATGAAATTGAAAACAAATGAAGCAAAACTGATTACTTTTCACCCTTCCAAAGGAATGGGAAAAAAAAAACAAACCACCAACCCCAAGCCTTATTTCAAATCCAGTATTATTTTACCAGAATTGTTTAGCCCATTCTGAGCTTATAAACATATATTCAGGGTTACCTGTGGAAATGCCCCACAGAAACACCATTCTGTGAAGCCCCTTACAAAGCAAGGCTCACACATGTTCACAGATGTGGAGATCAGGATGTGCTGGGTGACAACTGCTCCCTGGTGAAGCTGTTCTTGAAGGTGCAGATGAAAACCTGCCCTCCTGGAGCTCATGCAGGCTTTGAGTTTTCCTTGGGAAATGGGAGGAGAAACACAGGAAACTCTGCTTTCTGTGGACTAATGAGCCAGTCCTCATGGCATTTTTGTCTTGACTCTTTTCTAAACATTTGGCAGCCCGAATCCATGTTAATTGGGACGTCAGGGTAAAGTCCTTGATTTCTGAAGAATCTAAGTGAAAAACGTTCATTCTAAGTGGGCAGGCTGTGCTGTGCTCCCTTCACAGCCTAATAAATCAAGGCTGGGAGAGCTGTGGATTTCCCACATCACTCTACGAGCCTCTTGCTGTCACCACACAACAAAATACTTCCTGAAAGTGGAGCCCCTGCCTCCCTTTGTGGTGTCCTGTTGAGGATCATGGGGGCAGCTCATCTGCAGAGGGGACTTCAGCTGGACATACACGTAGGACTTGTTGCCAGGGTGCATTGTGCCAGGTGAGAGGTGTCCCAGGGGCACAGACCCTCAAGGGAGCAGAGAAACAGTCCAGAGTGAGGAAAACACAACAAAAGCAGTGGGGCTGTTGCTTAGCAATCTGCCAGTACCCTTTTTTTGGCAGCTGACAGGGCGACTGGAGCACTGAACATCATGGTTTTTCAAAGCAGGAGCAGAGGCTGAGATCAAGCACATGGCTAAGGCAGCTGACAGCCAGGTGGGAGCCTGACTGGCAGGTTGAAGCCACATCAACTTGTTGGATGAAAGGCAGCAGGACTGTTCAAAGCAGAGAGGCATGAAGTGGTCAGAAGGAAGCTGTTGTGTGCAGCATTTGTATGAAAGGGTCTAAATTAGCAAGTGGGAGGAATAAAGGCTTGCAGAGCAAAAAGATACTTTGGGAAAGTAGAAGCATTTGTATTTCCAAGTGGCTTGTGTGCTACAGTGGACATCTGGGCCATCTTCAGTGTTGATGCCCAGAAGCAACTGGTCACCCCTGTGGGCTGTGACCACCAGTCTGTGCAGGAATAATCCAGTGACTCACAGGAAGGCCAGAGGCTCATGGTTGATGTCTCACAAGCTTAAGGATGAATGAGAAGGGCATTTGTTCATCTGAGCTGAGCAGGGATCCAAGGGCTTTGCTTTCCAGTGCTGTGAATGAAACGAGCTTGTTGGTCCTGATATCTTACTCCTGATGATCAGGATTTCTCTGCTGTGTCAGCAGGGCCTGTGCTTGGAGCACACGTGGGAACTAATGGGACAAAAATACTGGTTGACTTCTTCTGTCTTAGAACCCAAATCTTCCCCATCATGTTCCAAGTATTAGGGCTCTCTTCCAGATGCTGTGTATTTACACTTTGAGGCACATGGGTGTCTGTTCCCAAGGATATTCACCTTGAACTTCCTGTGCTCCAATGGGTGTCTGTTCCCAGGATCAGGTGAACTGGGACATCTCATTACTTGGTTGGGGAACAGTGTTGCTCAGTGGAAAAGTGGCTTGGCCAGCAGGACACCAGTACCAGAGAGGAGAACCCAGGACCTCATGGTTTAAAGCTTACTGATACAAGTTTGTGATGATCAGTGAGGAGCATGGAGGGCTGACCAGTCTGTGGCTCCCAAAAACGGGAACTGGTGGTTTAGGAAAAACCAGTGCCCTCACTTCTGCTGTTTAGGGCAGCTGATCCTGGTGGAAACATTCCATGTCCTTTTGTGCCCTGTTACCTGGGTCACTAACTAGTGGTACAGCTGTTGTGTGCAGGAATCCAGGGAGTTAATCCCATTTTTCACTGCAAACAAAGAAACAAAAGCAAGATCTGGGGGCTTTACTGTTTTCTGCTTTTCCCTCCACCCCTTCCCCAAATGCTAAAAGCCCATGATTTAATGCTTAAACACATTATAATTGTTCACAGACCCTCTGCTCTCAGAAAAGCCCTCATCTTTAATGAGCAATTTCCAAATGACAAAAGAGCAGGATTAATCAAAGCCTCTAATTATATTTCATGCAGGGGGAAAAAAAAAATAAAATAAAAATCTCAGAAGAAGAAAAAGGAAAGAAATATCCAACTCCTGACAGCTCTGTAGTCTTTACTGGAATTTTCATATGTAAATGGGCTTTTTAACTCTGCAGGGCATTGTGAACAGAGAGAAAAATGTCTTCATTTTGTCTAACTGCTTGTAATCATTTTGCCATAATTGCAGCCGTGCTGCACATCTGGGGTCCCCCAGCCAGCCTGTGCAGGGTGCATTGCCATGGTGAGGCACGGAGGGGTGGGCACCAGGGAGGGAGTGGGAGCAGGTGCAGCACATCTGAAGAAGTTCCACCTCTAGTCTGTGTTTGTATGCCCTGGTTTGCAAAGGTCCTTGCAGCCTGTCCCCTGTGCCAGAGGGGAGGGTGAGTGTAGGTGGTTCAGTCAAAGCTTGGCCTTGTTGCTGGGATGTTGGGACCAGTCAACCCGTGCGTGAACTGAATCTTTCCCTCTCCCAGCAACTTGTGATCAGCTGAGCAGCAGAGAATGGTCTGGACTGGAATCTGACCTCTATGATCCCCAGATTCAGCAGCATGAGAGGATGGTTGCAGGCTGAGCCCTGCAGACCATCATAGGCTTTCCAATACACTGAAGTCAGTTTGCCAGATGAGCAAATGCCAGTTTTTGAGTGACTTCAGCATGTTAGAGTGGCTTCATCAGGCCAATAAAGACCTTGGCAATTCTCTCCTGCAGAAAACCCCCGGGAGTCGTGCTTTGATCCTGGATCAGTTAAGAACGGCACCCGAGTGGGTACAGACCTGAAGCTGGGATCCACAGTCACCTACTACTGTGATGGAGGGTATGACATTGAAGGGGTCTCCACGCTGACGTGTGTGATGGGAGGGGATGGAAAACCTGCCTGGAACAAACCTCGACCTACCTGTACAGGTGAGGCCCAAGGGAAGAGGTGAGCAGAGAGTCTGTCAGCAGGTACTTCAGCAGCTGATCTTGCTGCAGGAAGCTTGATGTTACCTGTGCATAGAGCTGCTTGCAAGGGGTCAGAGGTGGCTTTTGTCAGTGTTTCATGCTGTTTTGTGTTTCTCTCTTTTTTTTTTCCTGGGGTCAGGAAAGAGTTGACTTACACAAGGTTTCTTGAACCTTCTTTTGAGAGCGACTGGGCAGAGCATGATCTGCATGACTGTGTCCTGGTCAGGAAGCTTAACCTGATCCCCAGTAATCAAAGCGTGTGCTTTTCTGAACAGGGTCAGAGTTTATTGAGGAAAGAGAAGGCAGTTTTTTCTTAAGGGTTCTGTGTTGCTTTGGTTTTATTTTCTGGCTTAAGGAGAAAATGGTTTAAATGGTGGGTTTGCAGTCAGACCTTAGTCTGAGAAGTGAGTCAAGAGAGAGCTGTGAGTCTGCAGTGACTAAGGAATTAAATCCCTGGCTTGGAAAGGTGCTGGTGGGGAGGATGGTGATCCCACTGGAGCCAGGCTCCTGCTGCAGAGACAGGCTGAAAAGAGAAGGAGCTCATTCTGCTGGGTCCTCATTCTGCCAGGTCCTGAGCTTTCAGACCCAGTGGGAAGCAGTGCAGATCACACGGCAGGTTACAAGCCCTTGCATGGCATCCCTTAGCCTGGGGATGCCCTTGCTAACGACTCGTGGAGCAGGCATGAACCTGGAGGAGGAGAAACCTTGTTTTCCTTAATAAGAACTTGCAGTGAGGGCTGCAAGGGGCAGGGGGTCACTCAAGGCTGGGGACAGCTGGTGGGGCCCAGCCTCCCAGCACATGGGTGGGGGCATCTCAAAGCAGCAGGACAAAGGCTGATGCCTCAGGGCAGTGTGTGCTCAGGGTGGGCTCCATAATCTCTCCCTCCCTTTCTCCCCAGCACCCTGTGGTGGGCAGTACACGGGCTCGGACGGCGTCGTCCTCTCTCCAAATTACCCCCAGAACTACACCAGTGGCCAAGTCTGCTTGTACTTCATCGTGGTGCCCAAGGACTATGGTATCTGTTTGGGATGGGTTTTGGAAAGCTGTCCTACTGTCTGTGCAACACTCTTTTTTGGGTTTGGGTGTTTTTGTTTGTTTGAACGAAGCAGGAGAGTAAGTGCATATACAGGGAGATGAGGGAGATGTGGAAACAGTAAGTGGCACTGTTGGATGCTGATTGTCCTCTGCAGTCAGTAAGGATGATGGGAGTTTTCTGAATTTCAAAATCATGCCAAAAAAGAAGGGACCAGAGAAACCACACCTGACAAAACCAGCATCTTGTGATTCCTCCTCCAGTCCCTGCAATATATCCAGTCATGCAGAGTTGAAAATTCAACAAAAAGCAATTCATGATGATTAATGCTGGCAGCAGGCTCGAAGGACCTCCAAGGGTACAAAATATATTTACCATAAACACATGCTAACTGTGGTGCTAAATAATCTGTGCAGAGAAGCACATAAATGTATTTTTTTTTTTTGATGTGTGGCTGTGGTATTTATGACTAATTTTTATTTTTTAAATAACATCCAAATTACATTTTAAAACTAGATCCAAGCAGAAGCCAGATCCATTGAAAAGGACCAGCTTTACAGAGTCCAGTGATGCTTAATTTTGGCCAGAGTTTGAATACAAAAATTATAGATGTTCAAGAAACCCTTGAGGCATCTGGCTGGATGTTAGTACTGGTTAACATATTTTCTTGTTTGAAAGGGGATTTAAAGTTCTTGAAGAGCACTTGCACCAGCAGGTCTGGCAGGTCTCTCAATTCTGTTATTTAATGCTGCTTCTCAGCACATTGTATTGATCTAGTCAGTCCCTGTGGCCTCTTCAGTTGTTTGTGATTTCCTTTGCTAGGATAGCAAGGTGTGAGATGAGGATAATGTGCCCAGTCATCAGCTATAAGCTCCTTCCTCTCCAATTGCTTTTCTGCCTGTGTGCATGTAGGTCCCAGCCAGTTCCTGATCTAGCTGATGAGATGCTGCCCTGCTCCCTCCCACCCTTCACCCCTTTTACTGTAGCTGATCCTCGTATTTTCCTAAGAAACACAGTAACTAAAGGGCTAGGCAGTCTTGATCTGCAAGTCTGACTTCTCCCTACAATAGGATGACAGCTGAATTAGTTTCTCTTCTCCTGCTGCTGCCTTTCACCAGCTTCATTAAAACCAGGAAAGCTCTAAGTAGTGAAAGTTACCTGTGTCACATCCCCCTCAGGTCTCAGATCCCGTGCAGGGCAGGCATCAGGGTGTGCTACCCTCACTCCTGCAATGTCCCCAGCCTCAGTGTCCCCAGCTGAAACCTTGAATGTGCAGGAAGCAAATGTTGTAGCTTGGTGGATGATGAATTTCACAGCAAGAGCCCTCTCAGCCTGGGAACCTGCAGCTGGGCACTTATAACTTGAAAATGCAAAGCTAGGAGAGGAGGCAAAGGGGAGAGAAAAATCTTTCTAAGTACAGATTTGGGAGAAAAAACACTTGTTATATTCTGAAAATTAAAGGTAAGTAAAGTCTCTTTGCTGCAGCTAAAAAAAAAGGCTCTGATCCTTTCATGACTATTTTCTCCCTTTTCTGAGCTGTGCCTGCTCCTGGGTGCATGGACAGGGTGTGCAGGAAGACCCAGAGCACTGCACAGCTCCCTCAGCAGCAGCCTCTGCAAACTTAGGACTGGCTGATAACAAAACTGTGGGTGTCCTCTCTCCCTAGCAGTCCTCCTCCCTGCCCAGAGAGGGTCCATCTAGACATTACGTTACTCAGGACAGGGATTATTTGGTTCAGGTTTCATACCATTCCTGACCCAAGGGGCACCTGTGTCGGGACAGAGGTTCCATACAAATAAGAAATAATAATTATCAGTGGATGAAATTGCACACCTTGTGCTCTGTAGGCAGGAGGGGGGGATGATTCATGGAAGAATCCCTTCTGGCCTGTGAATCAGCGTTGCAGCACTGGGAGGTGAGCACGGGGGAGGCTGGTTGCTGCTCTGTTGTGCCTGCTTTGTGGATAAATAAAGGGCTCCCATCTTCCTGGGCTGTCAGTCAGGCCCTTTTAGTCTCTGCCAAGCTCCTGAGATAAAAGCAGCTGGAATGCCTGGGCTGGGAGCCCCAGGCTGACAGGCCCCCCTGTCCCCGCAGTGGTTTTTGGGCAGTTTGCCTTCTTCCAGACCGCGCTCAACGACCTCATCGAAGTCCACGATGGCCCCGACCAGCAGGCCCGGCTCCTCAGCTCCCTCTCGGGCTCTCACACAGGTAGGGAACGTGTCCCTCTTGCTGCTGGGGAAATCAAGCTAAAAGCACAGCCCGCAGCTGAGGACCTCGCCCTGTGCAGCCCATCTGGGTCGCTAACGCTGTGCTCTGTCTCCTGCTTTATCTCCTTCTCCCCATCCAGGTGAATCGTTGCCATTGGCTACCACCAACCAGATTCTCATAAAATTTAGCTCCAAGGGTCAATCTACAGCCAAGGGTTTCCATTTTGTCTACCAAGGTGAGTACAGTTGTGTTCTGGGGACATTCTCAGGTCAGTCCTGAGATAATGGTTAAAATTACAGTGGTGTCTCCAAGTATCCTGCTCTGCTTCTGGCATCTCTGGGTCCTTGCACACTTTGAACAGGCAATATCACAGGAGATGAAGATTATTTTGGTAGTGCTGAGCTTGCAGGGCTGGCTGGCTCCTGGAGGGACTTTGTGTTCAGACCTTCCATTTTGCCTCAGCCCAACCTCCCAGCACATCCCAGGATTAGTATCAGAGTATCTCCTCGAACCCTGCCCTGAGACACAGTGAGGTCTGGAGATTTAAACCCAAGCAGTTTTTTCCCACTGCTGTTTGAGCACATTTCTCAGTGTAAGCAGCTGAACACTTGTCTGGCAGCTCTGTGAAATCCTCCCTCGCTGCCTGCCATGGGCTCAGGTCTCCTGCTGTCCAACTTCTGCCCCTTGATCCCTTCAGCAACAGCTTGCATCGTGTTGGGTGAGATTGGAGATTTAAAGTAGTAAATAGCAAGTGATGCACAGAATAGTGGGAGAACAGAAGGGCTTTCTCACCCACGTGCTTTGAGCAGTTCTCTGTGGTTCAGCCAAGCTTTGACAGGCAGCAGGGGCAGCCTGTGCCTCCTCTAGGGGTGAAGTGAAGCATGGTTTGGATTTTAGAGTATCCTGAGATCCGTTCTCTTGCATTTTTACCCAATCATTTTAAAACAACTGCAGCTCTGAGAGTCATCTTTATAGAGTTCAGCAAAGCAAAGGTTTTGGTGGAACCAGTACAGATTGTCTCCTCCCTCCTGCATGGGAGTGTGAGCTGCAGGCTCTGCAGGGGTTGCTGCATGGAGGGCTGGAGCAAAAGGAAGACCAGCCCTGGCTTTGACCTGCCTGGCCAGGCTAATTTAATTTGGGGTATCCTGGATTTGCCCACAGTAGAGCATCACCCTAAGTGACTCCTTTTTGCCTTTCTCTTCCCCTTCCCAGACCAGTGAAATGCTCCAGACTCAGCTTCTTGCTGATCATCTTGTCTGATGCCTTTGACAGTGAATTTGACATTCATCTCCCTGAATCGAATTAAAATGGAAGAATGCAGCTAATGTGCTTATCATTCTGCATTTTTCCCCTCCCAACAACTTGAGCATTAAGCTCTAATAAATTGTTACACAACCCAGAGAAAAATAGGAATTGATTTCTTCCTCAGCAACAGACGTTTCTTTGCCTTGTTTTTCCCCTCACTTATCTGTCAGGCTCTGCATTTCTTTCTGTGACTGTTGGATCCAGGGTTGAACAGCAGCCCAGGCAATCTCAACAGTTGGTGATGCAGCATCAGGGCTTCAATTCCTCTTCTCTTTTTTCTTTTTCTTTTTTTCTTTTGTTTTTTTTTTACCTTTCTCATAATGAAGAAGATGGTTTAAAATTGCTGTCCTTGATGTAATGAAACCTAAAGGACTTTCTGCAGAGTCTCTAACATTATATGGCTAACCAGCTTTTTGGAAAGTCATTGCCAAATGCCTTGGTTTCCCTATTGAGAAATAACCTCCCTGATATGATGATGATGATAAGTTTTGTGAAGGCAAATGGCATCTTAGAAAGTATGCATGGCTCTGTAATGTCCCTGCTGCTTTCATTTCAAGTATCACTTGATTTGATAGAAATTCGAATGAAATGCTATTTCTTTTTCTTCTCAGTGGTGATGTTTGGATTCAGTATAATCAGATTCATAGAATCACAGAATCATTTATGTTGGAAAATACCTTTAAGATCATCGAGTCCAACCATTAATCTTTACTAAGTCCACTGCTAAACTGTGTCCCTAAGCACTGTATCTACATGACTTTTAACTATGTCCAGGGATGGTGACTCCACCACTTCCCTGGGCAGCCTGTTCCAGTGCTTCACAACCCTTTCTATGAAGAATTTTTCCCTAAAATCCGGCCTAGACCTCCCCTGACACAACTTGACACCATTTCTCCTCATCCTATCACTTGTTACTTGTGAGAAGTGAGTGGCACTTGCCTCTCTACAACCTCCTTCCAGGCAGTTGTAGAGAGCAAGAAGGTCTCCCCTCAGCCTCCTTTCCTCCAGACTGCCCAGTCCCCTCAGCCTCTCCCAGCACGACTTGTGCTCTGGGCTCCTTCAGCTCTGTTGCCCTTCGCTGTCGTTTTTAACATAGAATCATAGAATCCCAGGGGTTGGAAGGGACCTTGAAAGATCATCTAGTCCAACCCCCCTGCCAGAGCAGGGTCACC